AACTGTCTAGTCAACTGTCTAGTCAACTGTCTAGTCAACTGTCTAGTCAACTGTCTAGTCAACTGTCTAGTCAACTGTCTAGTCAACTGTCTAGTCAACTGTCTAGTCTAACAAATTCAGACGATACACAGTCTCCCGTACTCTCTGTTTGGTTATGAATATATGCACAGTTTTTGCAACGTGATTATCCATCATCTTTACTTCACAAGCCCCAAAACAACCCAGATCTAGAGCCACGCGGAAACACATCCCGGGGAGTGTGTGCCTATGCACCCATGCCCCATCTCTCATGCAGGCGTCGTCTCGTCATTTATATCGTCGTTTTCGTCTTCTTCTGGCGGCACCCATAACAAGACACCATCCTTGTCGCTTTTCATTCCATCAGTTGGAATGATCTTCAAGACTTTCTGAAAGTATTTGTCGCGAACTACCAGCGTGGGTCGAATCCACGTTCCCCTGACGAGCGGCAAGAGACGATACGTGATCGAGCGTCTTGCAACGGGCAACACGTTTAGTGTGACGGTCTTGGCACCAGAGAAGGCAAATTCTTCGCTCGGCTCCATAGTGAGACCGAAAGTTAAGAAATGTGAAGAAGGGTTCTCGATGGTGATGTCTAAGAAGAGAAGTTGAGGTGACGATGCGGCTGCTGACGTCGGAGCTTCCGGTGAAGACGAATAGGACACTGTGGCCAGCACCCGCGGTTCGGCGACTGTCACGTAGAATTTCTGTGAAGGTAAAGTCGTCACGTTTATTACGGTATCGGGACCGCCCAGCCGTCTCCATTTGATGATGAAAGAGAGGTCCGCAGTCGCAGGAGATCGGTCATCAAGACTCGACTTGTGCGAAATAAGGTCGAATTGTCTTTCCTCAATTGTCTTCGGAGTAAGGATTTGGCCATGTTCGGGAAATGGTTCGGTCTTCGAAGCCGTGCAAGTTACATTACCTTGCGTAGCAAGCACTCCAATCTCGATATCCAAAACCAACACTTTCTCGTTAGCAAAAGAAGCATAACGTGTAATCAGGGCCCATTTCTGGGACAGCCCACGAGGCCGGGCGATAATGGCATTATCATCCGACAGATCTTCTATATTTTCGGTATCGAAGAAGCTAGGCCATTCGGAGTGTATCCTTGGTAGTAAGTCGTAGTTTGCCTCGAATGGAGAGACAATGTTCAAAGTATATGCCGCTTGTTGAACAATAGGGGTTGATGGGTCCGAATGGAGGTGATACCATACTTCGATACTTACTTCAATTACAGCTGGCTCGTCAATGGGATTTAAAGTAACGAGAACCCTCTCTGACACCAACGGTCTGATTGTGCTTATCTCGATACCGTGTAAGCTTTTGTCACCGCTTCCTGACGATGATGGTTGCGCCCCATCAGCAAGCTCGACGTGATATGAAGGAGTTACAGCACCGCGCAAGACGACATTCACCTTCGCAACGGCGTCACCATCTTCCCCGTTCATCAGATCCAGGTCAAGTTGTATGGCTTCATTTGTGTAATATTGTTCAAGCATCCGAGGCGCCTGGATTTGCATCTTCGGTGGTTTTGGCAGGATCCTTATGCGTTGAGGGTTTGATCTAACGAACTTCCTCGCTGATGAAGGCCCAATATGCCATTCGCTCGAAGATTTTGTTCGGCCTGGCTTCATGTTGTACGTAAGCGAAAAACTCCCTGGATCTAAGGAGACTGCCACCGACGTTATCTTCGCGTCGCCGGGTTCTCGCAATGGGATATCAAATTCAAAGACCCTGGTCTGGCCTGGAAACAGGGACAGATCCTGCGTTCCCCAGAGGACAATTGAGGTGTCCTGTTGGGAGCTAGCCTCAGGATCGGTAGGGGTTGTCTCGTCTCCATTATTTTCCACTTTGTCGTGTCGGGAGCTAGCCTCAGGATCATCAATAGTGGTCTCTTTCCCACTGTTTTCCACCTCTCTTAGAGTTACCTTGGTAAATTCTAAGGTCGCACTTGGTAATCTTGGATCGGGGTTTTCTTCGTGTTCTAAATAGACATCTCGCAACCCGCCCTCGACATAAACATGGATGGACTTGAGCGGTATTGCTGCCGTGTCAGGGAGGGCATTTGATGTGAGAGAGAGCTGTGCAGGACACGTCTGTCCTGCTTTCCCTTCCTCGTGTTTGAAAATGAAATCAGTACAGATAAAGGATATTGAATGCTCATCGTCGAGGTTGATAAGGGGTGGCTTCTCAACTCTAATCCCATATAGAGACTTCGAGATATCATAATGCCAACCTGAACGTCTGGCAAAATCTAAGGAGTTATCAGCAATAGATCTAGTATAGCCTTGAGTGGGTGACGAACTTCTATTCATTAGTTCCCAATCGATGGCAATTATAAGCTCTTTATGAGCAGCTTCATATGCCGCTTTTCTCAAGGTCCAGCTCATTGCTTCTATGATATCCCACCAACCCTCAGTTCGAAACGACATGTCCCTCCACAGAGGAACGAGCAATTCTAATAGTTGTTGCCACTTCTGCATGATTTCCAATTCTCGACACGAACTAAGGACCAACTCGACCGAGGCGCGTAGTTGCCCACGTTTCTGGAATTCTGCTCGTGCAAATGTTAGGTGATCAAAGATCATTTGAGCATGATTAGTTCCTAGCCCTTCGAGCGGATACTCTTCGTGTGGCTCGGGAGACATGTACGTGTCGTAGGCATATGCTTTTCTAGATGCGCCAGCCACTGCCGATTCGGTTGGAGGCTGCCGATCCTCTTTTGGTATTAACTGCGCAAATTTCCGTCTCTCTATCAGATGCTCAGCTGCCGCTCGGTACCAATATCCAGAATGATGAAGTAAATCCCAAGGCTGGAGACCGACGGAGAGATTTTTCTCTGGTTGACGGAAAGGTAATAACGTCGATGGCTCTAATTCAGGGAAATTCACTTTCTCAATCAAATTCGCCATGACCGTACACCATCTCGCTTGCCACGCTTTCCACCCACTTCAGCATTCAAATGTTAGTACTATCCCTCCTATGTGATGGGCGAAACTTTCGGGGTATGTTTAGCCAGAAATGGATGTACTGGCGCTCGGCGGTGGCTAAACATTGGAGACAAATAACACTGGTAGTACTTACTAGTTCTGGGTGCCGCGGCCTTTCTGGTCTACAATATCGCAGATCCTATCATTATGTGACTGCCATCGCCGTACGGCGGTAGTACTCTGTCCGGTAAGTAGTAGGCATTTGAGGATCCGTATCGCCAGTATGTCTGCTAGAAGACGAGCGTCATTAAATCTTGGCTCCCATGCCGGTATAGTCTCCAGCACATCGGTTCCAAGCAAAGTGTCGTAAGCCTGTTCGTAAGAGCGCAGAGCAACGTCAAATTCCTGACGAAATTCAGCAAATACAGCGAACTTGAAGTCATAACGAACGTTCCATCCTTGAAGACTCAATGTGTGAGATGTTCCGCTGGTTGGGGGTATTGTGGGCTGAGGAGCCAGTCCACGTCCCTTCTTTTTACGGACATGCCGTCCAAGATCACGGTAGTAATCAAGAGCTTGGCCATATATTGACGTCAAGACACTGTCGACCGCAATTTCTAACTCTGTATCCGTTCGCCGGGTTGGTAGAACAAATAGCGACGCCTTGGGGTCGAGCCCCGTACTTCTCCTTATATGCTCGAGTCTCTCCTGAAACTGGGCCACGGTGCTCGGAGACTCGTCACTGAGGATAACTACGGCTAAGCGAGTCTTATAGCCCGATTGAATCAGGGCATTTTTTATGGCATTGATGTCCGTCTTCAGGCGGTTGTCGTGTAGGGTTGCAAGCGTGGGATCAGAGGTCAGGCTGTAAAAGCAGAGACACAAACTCGGCAGTAGGTCTTGATGCTTGTGAATCCATCGAGTATCTATCAAGCCATCGGGATATACAGTTGAGCCTGGACTAAGCGGCGAGAATGGCGAATGTAAGATGAGACTAGAAGGAGGAGCGTCCGGAACATGAGGAGGTCTGGCACGTCGAGGGGGCAGAAGAAACTCCTAACAGGCATTTTAGAATCCAGTGTACACCGGCGATGGGATTAACGAGGAACATACCCTTCCAATGACCTTGACTTTGAATCTATACCGCTTGGGGTTGTCGCGCAAATGCCAAGAGAAGTTGGCACTGTCGGCGTCTTGGATGAAGCGCAATATAGCTCTGGCTTCTCGCGAATCGATAACGGGGAGTTCCGAGCGCACGAGAATGCCACGTTCAGCCAGCTCTGGGTCGGTAAGGAGAGGTTTTGGTGGACCGCCGTCGAGGCCGGAAACAGTCAGGAAGGGGACATTATGGTCCAGACTCCCGA